TTCTTATTTGCGGTTGCAATTTGTTCGCTACTTTAATCATGAACTTACAAAAGGTACTAAAATGAGAAAATTCAAGATTCAATTAGGAAAAAAAAAAAAATCCTCATAAACATAACAGAGGCCGTGGTTGCCCAGCGGTTGCAGAATTGAATTTCGGTCCGGAGGAGCCGGGGCTCGATTTTCGGTTCCACTAAAATCCCCCCCCCCCTAGTTTATAGTACATGTGATATACGTGCTCGTAAAATCTGCGGAATCGAAGGTTCTGTGGCCAGTTCATGAGCAGTATTATGGGTACAAGGATCTGGAGAAAATTTCCTTCCCTTTCAGATTTATGTCTAAGTTTAGGAAGTGGCCATCTCTCCGTCGGGTTATGAGCTAAGACGTATTTTCACCGTTGGTGCTGTCTTGCCAAAGGCTCTCTAGCCAAAGGCACATCTTCCTGACTTAATTCCCAAGAGGCCAATGGCTGGCTATGACGGGCAAAAAAGAATTAAAGAAGAAAAGTACAACACTATTTTTAACAAAGCATATACAAAGCACTGCATTAACAAAGCATACAATATTTTAGTTCATGCTGAATTAGCTAATTTGAGTAATTATCCCAGTTCGGTATTTCTTTTTCGAACATTAAGTTTTTAGTTGTTAGTTTTTGGTGTTCGTAAACTATGACGAAACTCATTTCTTGACATTCCAAATTCTCAGTTTTGTGCTTTACTGGGCGAAGACATATTAGAACAGAAGGTTTTTATTCTCATGATAGAATCGATTAAAAAGAAGGGAAAAAAAAAGATGTAAAATCAGCAGCAGGAAAATTATAACCGACAGTGTATTGACCAATTTAAAGTTGGCAGTATTAACCATTCCTCAAAAAGAATGCGAGCTGGGAGAAAATATTTAGCCACTTAACAAATATACGGACTTAATTCTGTTCTTGAAACAAACTTTTGAGAAATTTTGACTGAGAAGACAAACCAAAAAGAGTTTCAGAAAATTTTTTTTATGCCGTTTTTTTTAAATTTTTTTTTTTAAACAGATGCTAAATCTGTACTCAATCTATTTCTTGTTGTTGTTATTTTTGTAATTTGTGAAAGGGTAATACAGTTGCTTGTATAAATTTAATTTAAATTTAAAGAATGTGCTAATTTATTTAATTTTTTATATTTATTATAGTTTTGCTTTTTACGCAATGCCGTGATTACAAGTCAAGTTATTTTTTATTTTAAGGTTGGCAGGTCTATGGGCCAAAATAATTTTATTTTTTCTAAGTCAAAATTTAAGTTAAGAAAATTACGTCATTTGTGACAGTAAAGATTGATATACAATTGATTCACATAATGTTGTATTTTTTTATATTTTCGTGATTCAGTTTTGTACGAAATTATTGCAAAGGACTGCGTAATTTTCATTATTATTTGAAATAAAATATAACTCTTAATTTTAAATTTTATTATCGATATTATTTTGATTTTTCCACATTTTTTGTTTTTTTGACTCATTCACTATTTTTGAAACTTTTTCAAAGTTTTTTTGTACGTGACTTGTATATAAGCAATCATAAATCGTAATTATACTTAATAATACGTTGAACAAAAGTAATAATAATTAAAGATTACAATAAATTATAATTACAATAAATTATAATTACATCTTATCTTCATTACAATTTTAATTTTAACTGTACGTTAGTTTGATTTCATAGTTGTTACATTCCTGTAATCAATTACATTTTGTCCAACTCTAGCTATTGATTTTTTTTAAAATAATGATTTTAGTCCTGACATAAGATTTAATATGTCGTTGAATAAATGAAAATATCCGACTCTTTGCAAATGCCTCCGTCATTTTGAAATGATCTGGGCTAATTAAAAAAGTTTTAATATTTTCTATTCAGGCTTATTTTTCGGGAATATTAAAATTAGCTCGAGTGTCTTTAGGACAATTAAAATTATACACGAAGATTTACTCAATAAACTTAAACTGTGTAGCTTATACAATTAATGAGTTATATATTAATCGTGATGTTTCGAATGAACATCTTAAGCTTTGGATTTTATAATTTCTAATTCTAAAGCTCATTGCAAACGGCCCTAAATAATTAGGCTGATGGAACAATTAATAAATTTTTTCTTTTTTTCTTTTTTACAGCTTGTAAGTATCTGGGTCCATTTTAATATGGTTAAACTGTGTTCGACTGATTTGAAAATACTGAAGAATTTTTCAATTAGCCTGGTGTTTTGCAAAATGACGACGATTTTATAATGAGCCTACATCATATATCTAATATGCGTATTAGTTTAATTTATTTTCATGAAACATTCGAGTGGAGTACGCTAACAATATCGTAAAGAAATATATTATCCGTGTAAATGAACAATATCCGAACAATATTGTAAAGAAAAGTTATTATCCGTGGTATATGAGTTTCAGGACCTTGACATCAAGTAAGGTGTTTCAATAAAGACACTTATTTTCCCACGAAATATTATATTTTTAGGGGGTCGGGATGAAAATCCTTGCAAGAATAAAAAAAAAAACAGGCCAGCCGGAAGTGAGCTTTATCCCCCCCCCATACCTCTTCCCTCTTCCGGGGCAACCAACAAAGTATTCCGTGTAACATTTGAAGATTAAAGCTGGTTCAAAAGTTCTATTTATTATTATTATTTTTTTTACGCATCTCACTAGTTTTGAAATTCTTCCCAAGTTTTTTATACGTGACCTTGCGTACAATCACGTCCGATTGATGTATGAACTCTAGTCGTTTTAATTGTCTCTAAATTTTATTCTATTTCTATCTGATAACCCGGTGATAAGGTCGTTTGTGCATATTTTTGCATTGTGAGGTTCTTTTCAACTTGCTAATTCAGCGTGTTCACATTTGCTCTTTATACAAATATCATTAGTCTAAATACGAAAACTGTTTGACTTTTATTTTTATCGGTATTTCTATGTATTGCAAACAATTTTTGTATGTTTAGAACACAAAATCCAATTTTTTTTTAAATACCTGCCAATGAGTTTTGCTTTTAAAAACGCCTTATTATACGCTGAGTCGTTGCTTTGGGGAAGGGGGTGATGCAGGGGTCAGATAACCCCATGTTGAGTCCCCCTTTTCATACTTGTTAAAATATATCTAACAGGATAGTAGAAGTGTTTTCCTATTCTATGATGAAGGTGTAAGAAAATTGTCATCCGAGTTAACGTGTTACTTCTAATGAGAAAAAAAAAAAAAAAATGAAAGTAAATAAATAAAAAAAATGAAAGTAAATAAATAAAAATGTGTTGCTTCTCATTTTAGCTAATATGAATTAGAAAATATGTTAGCTTTTTTTTTGTATGTATTTATTATAACTTTTTAAAGTAACGAATGTTTATAGCGTAATATATCGCCTCTTCTCCGCGAAATTCCGTTTCTTTTAGCTTGAGTTCCATTAAAAGAATTAACATTTCAGAAACAGGAAAATTTTGCTGTATTGAACTGGGAGACCATCCACAAAATGTACTAAAGTGTGAGAAATATCTGTTCCATCCGATTTGTTGTTTCAGAATTTTTATGACACTTTAATATAACATAGAAAAAAACTTAGCGGATTAAAATTTCTTTAGCATGAATCATGAAATTAAAAGGTGAGGTGTAGTTCATATACTTATTTTACTGTATTTAAAAGATGCATAAAATTTTCTATGATGAAAAAAATTTGTTTCAAAAATAAGAATGAATCTTTTCGCATAGTTTAATTATAATGATTTTGATACAATGAATATTTCGATGACCGAAAATTTTTGATATTATAAAACTGTGGGGTCATCGACAATTTTTTTTTTTTTAATAGGTGCATTCAAAATTAGTGAAACACTTTTACAAAAATATATTAAGTGATAATTGAAAGTTATTAAACTGTAACACAATTTAAACAGGATATTAAATCATTAGATTTGACGTCTTAGTAAGATTGAAAAAAACAACAATTGTTTTCAATTGGTTGTAATGTAAATAATGACATTTTCAAACAGAAGAGTCTTATAACTTGAAGTGAAATTACTGAATGTACTTATAAAAATATTTTTGTGATTTAATTTGCATATTAATTAATACGGAACAGAAAATTTGCTCTTCAGGTGTGCAGTAATTATGTGTGTTTATATATAATTTCTGCATTATGTGTTTATATATAATTTATTATAATTTTAACACTTAATAATTTCTTGCTGCTCCTTTATCTTAGAGTTAGCCTACTTCAGGAGAGGAAAAAAACAAATGTGTTTCTAGATTACCAGAATTAATTTATACTAATTCTCATAACTCAACTTAAATGGTCCAAAACTCAACTCAAAATATCAGTTTACTCTCTTTTTCTCCATAACATTTTAATTGTTTTTGCTTTCTTCTCTTAAAATAAATAAAATGGAGGATTAGACAAAAGTATGATTATGAAACATTATAAAGTAATGAAAATGCCATGAAGTAGCAGCGTAATTAATAATAGTAAAAGGTCATTCTTTTCCATGAATTATTTCAATCATTAGTTTAAAATTATTGCTCTTCTGTGACTCGACAGACCTGGGTGGGCCATGGCCTTTGCCAGAAGTTTGCTTCAGGCATCTCTACATTTGATCATTCTCAACATAGGCGATCCATCTTAGGTTCTCCCCAAGGTCTTTATCCCATGGGTTTCTCTAAAAAGACTTTCTTACACATCGATTTTCACGCATTTTTGCCAGCTGAACAATCCATTTAATTCGTTAGATTTTGATGAATTTTACAATAAAATTCTTTAAAATTCCTGTAAAGCTCTAGATTTTTTCTTCTTTCCCATTCTTCCATTAATTTCCACTATTGTTGATTCTCTGAAAACTGATTTGTTTTTGTAAAATTTCGGTAAAGGAGTTATAATTTAGGCATTGTTTTTTTATTTTACAATTTTATATCTTTTTTTTCTAAATTTTTTTAATTTTTTTTATTTCTCAAATGACCTTTTTTTTCTTTTCTTTTTCTTTGTTAGGTCTTTGAATATGGAGCAAGAAGCAAAGCAAAAAGAGAAAGAAAGAAATGGCCAACCTGACAGTAGTAAGTATATTATGAAGAGAGTATTTTTTCTTTATTATTATGTTTTTTTAGTGACTTTAAATATTCTTAAAAAATTTAATCAACTGAAGATGGTTTTAATAATTTATTGTAATTCATGCAATAAAACACTTGCAAAATTAATTATGAAGTGTAATTTTATCCCTTTCTTTCTAATTATAAAAGCACTCTAAACTATTTAAATGAATTTCAATTTTGAGTGAATAAAAAAATAAATATATAAGTGAGTTAAAAAGAAAAGTATTACAATAAAATTTTTCTTTTGACTTTTTTTTTGTACAAAACCATTCATATAAAATTTGATGATTATAAAATGGAAATTATAAACTCCGAAGCAATGATAAAATACAAAATTCAAATTAGTGATTTTCAATGTTGTTTGATCAGCAGTATCTTTTATCAACTGCATTGTCAACGACTTTAGGGCCTCATCAACTCTCCATAGCTCATGGAAATGCATTTTACTCTGATTTACCACTCTTGGCCGCAGTTGTTTTTCTTGTTCTGTTTTTCATCTTTATTTTTATTTCACTCTCTGCTACTGCAGTTTTTCTAGTTTTGTTTCTTACCTTTATTTTCCATTTTTTGTTTGCAACTTCGTGTTTTATATTCCATATTATTTGTTTCTTCTCATTCACATCTGGCAAGTCTTGAGAATAGGCACCTATTTTTAAGAGCTTGAAACATGTCAGCTTTTAATTCCATCTGCATGTTTTTGAAGCCAATTAAGTTTTTCGATAAGTAATATCTTACCATTTCAGTTTCTTGGGATTATTCATTTAATTCTTTCTAGTTGTTTAATTTCACTGATTTCATACATGTATTTTTTTTCTTAATATATATCTTAAACTTGTAATAAATTGTAAACCCAGTAAATGTGTATGTATTGTCATAAATTGAACTATAATTCATTTTACCAGATTGTTAATTTTATAATGAGATATTTAAATAGTTTTATTATATGCACATGAGGGGAGAGTTGCATCGACAATGTCAACCTTTATCTGTGAAAATGTACTCCGACATAGAATCGAGTTAACATGTCTTATATACTAGTGAATTGGAATTGTATTTCTGTAGTGGTAGATGCACTACAGTACTTCCCCACCAGAATTTTTTCTGCGATAGAATTCGATGAACAAGATACCACTAGTTGATTCATTGGTGTTTTCTGAGAAGCTGGGAGAGCTGTATTATGATCACCATAGTACTTTTGAGTGCTGATCGTGAGAGCTGTATTCAGGTTATGTATGATAGAGACTGAGTAGCAACCGCGCGAGGAGGTGGATGGTATCGCAGTCACAAACAGCAAGTCAACTGTGCAATGTAAACTATCCATCTTAGTAGGCTTGTTCAAATTGAAGTGGGCATTTCTGTCAAGGTAGGCATGTTCAAATCACGCCTGAAGTTCACCAATGTGGGGATAGTAACATCGACAATGTCAACCTTCATCTATGAAAAGGTACCCTGACATAGAATTGAGTTAACGTGTCTTATATATAGAACTGGAATTGTACTTTTGTAGTGGTAGATGCACTAACAGCATATTTTGACAAAGTGTATTTCAGAGAATTTAGGTAATATTTAAAATGTTACTCAAATATATAAATTACATTTAACATTTTAAAAAAACGCGTTAATATTTGAAAATTTATTCTTTTATATTTATTATAAACTGCACGCTTTATCTCTGAATAAAATTTAAAATTCATAAAAAATTGTAGTCATTTAATAAAAAAATTATGATTTCAATTCGATTATTTGAATTTTTTTTAAAAATAGATACTGATTTTTCTCAAATCCTGTATAAAATACTGATATATTTCATTGTTTTTAGATGTGCAAACTTTGGACACAATGCAGGCATTGTGTTTACCTCTGGGAGCCTCAATATCACTTCTTGTCATGTTTTTCTTTTTTGACTCAATGCAGATGCTTTTTGCTATATGTACAGCAAGTAAGTGGTCAATTTATTAATTCCACCTGGTCAGTTTATATACTTAAATGAGTTAGCAGCAAATGTACATAGAATAAAATACACCACTTTTCATTTTTATACAGCATTTTCAATCATTATATAAATCAGCTTTAAAATGTTAAAAATGTTCAAATTTTAAAAGATTTGTGAATTCCATTTTTTTAATATTCTATGTCGTACGAATTATTTTATCAAGCATAAGTAAGGATTTTAAAAACCACTCATGTATAATTAATAGTGGCCACTCAAATGCTGCTAAAAAAATTAATTATTCAAATGCCTAATTCTAAATTTGTTGTCGTAAAAATATAAGAATAATCTGTAGCATCAACTGTCACGAAAATGATCTACATAACTTATTTACAAAATTTTTTAACAAAAATGTTTTCTCTTTGATTATTGTATCTTATAATATTTGCAATAAATTGATATATATTTACTTTTATGATGTAAAAAGAACAAAATTACATAGTTGTGGTCAGGAGTTTTTCAAACCCTTGCTTCAATCTGATATTTCTTTTATAGTAATGAAAGTATATAATTTCATTTCTTAAAAGTTGTTTTAAAATCTAATTTTTTCATCTGTGTGTAAAATGTATACATTGATGTTAAAAATCTAAAGAGTAAAGTTTTTAAATGTAAGTTTTTATCTAAGAGGTAAAGTTCAACATTGCTAGTTGGTTTTATTTTTTTGTTAATGTTTTTTTTCCCCTCCAGTTTTTAACAGTCGTGTAAAGTGTGATGCTTTATGAAATTTTTCTGTTTTTTTAAAATCTTTTTTTTTGAAAAAGATTTTTTTTTTTGATTCAGTTCTTTTAATTAAAAAGCATTTACATAAGAATTATAAGTCTGAGTTTTAATTATGAAATATTATTTTATAAATTGAGCATTAATTAAACTATTTTATTTCAGTCATAGCAACTATTGCATTAGCCTTCTTACTGCTGCCAATGTGTCAATATATAATTCGACCATGCTCTGATGGAAATAAGTAAGTGCAATTTCTCATTACTTTATTAAACGTTTAATTTAAAATTTTCTATTTAAATATTTAAATTCTTTTTGCCTTTTTTATGGAAAAAAAATTATATTGTTTAAAATATAAGTTAGGATTAGATTTAAAAAAAAAAGATTTAAATACTCAGTTCAGGGTCGACAAAAAATTTAGTTGAAATAAAATTAAATTATAAATAAGAACTAAAAACTTATTTTAAATACACCAGAATCAAAATTACATGCATAAGTTATGATGTTCTTATGATTGCGATTTATGCTTTAATTTTCTTTGGCATTGTTCTTTACATTTTGTTATGTTACTCCTTATATTCTTAGCTTACAATTTCCAAAAGTCCTGTTCCAAACTATTATTACTTTATATAGATGTACTTTGTTTCATTTTTCAAACCTGCCAGTATTTTTTTTTAAAAATTCATTTGTTGTATCTCTCTCTCTCTCTCTTTTTTTTTTTAAATAAAAACATTTTTTTAAAATTTTAATCTTACAACAAATTATAGCTGTTAGAGCTATAATTTGTTAGAAAGTTATAAATGGAAAGAAACATTTTTCTTACATCTCTTGCTTTTTCTTATATTTTTAATATAATAAAAAAACTTAATCAATGACTTAAAATTGTTGTTGTTTTTGTAGGATGACTTTTTGGTATGTTTCATTTTAATATTTGTTTGTATTATGTTTTTTACAAGCATATATTTTATTGTAATGTAATATCTCTTCAGTTTATTTAGATGCTTTAATTTTTTTTAAATTTTTTGTAACCAATTTAACAGGTCATCATTATACATATATATTGCATAGCTTGTAAAATTAAGTATCTTTACATTAATAAAACTCTATAAAGTTTTATTTTAATAAAGGATTTTTTATAAGAGCTATGTTATAAATCATTACTAAACTGCTAAACAAATGATGGTTTCATTAAAACTAAAATGAATCAAGTAGTATTTAATATGTTTTAAAATCTATGAATAATTTTATTGTTTGATTTTATCTATTTATTGTTGCACATATATATGCAGACTTTTGTGCTTTCTACAAAATATGGTTTATCAGACCATTGTTGAGAATCAGATAGCACAAGTTAAGAGAACGATATCACAAATATACATCCTGGGTAATGATGGGATTCAAACACGCTACTTCCATGCTACAGAACATTAAGTGGAAGGGCAAGATCACTCTGCCTTTTATGAATTAGTTGAGTTTTTTGCTTAGTAAAATATTTAAAATAATTTATAATTGCCGAAGTAACAAAACTCTTTTGTGCTTTCTTTAGAGAAAAAAAAGTTTATAACAGATTTAAAGTTGTGATTTTTTCTGTACTTGTAAATGATACATCAGTATCCTATCAAGGATGGATCTCTGAATGATGAAGTATTGGAAAATTCTGCCTCATATATATATATATATATNATATTCATATATATTAAAAAAGTATGAATGTTAGAGTTATGTTTCAAACTTTCCAGGACTTGGAGTAATATGTTACCGAAAAACTCTTTAGTATGTCTTATTTCAAATAAAAACAAAAGTTTGATATTAAAATTGAATATATGATTCTATGAATGTATAATTTATAATATCATTTTCCAGATAAATTTATTATTAACTTATAGACAGAAAGACACTTTGGGCAACAAAATTGGATTTTTATGTATTTAAATTTGTGTTTTTATGTTTTAGTTTGTTTTATGTTTGCTAACTATTTACCTTAATCTATGGGAATAGTTTCAAAGCTTTGCAAAATTTGAAGGCAGAATTATCTTTCTTTTGAAATTATGAGTGCAGAGTTTTCCTATACTGTTTGGAGGTCAATTTTTCGATACTGGATGACTCATTCTTGAAACCACTTTCTTTTTTTTCTTTTTGTAGAATATCATTTGGGATGTGTGGAAGATTTACTGCTGCAGAATTAATTTCATTTGCTTTGTCAGTTACTATTGTATGCATTTGGGTTTTGACTGGACATTGGCTATTGATGGATGGTAAATATTGTTGATTAAATCAATTTTTTTTAATGCATTATTAGAAACTGTGTATGAAATTTCCAGAAAAATAATAATTTTTTCTCTTTCATTTACAGCTATGGGAATGGGGTTGTGTGTTGCTTTCATAGCATTTGTCCGCTTGCCAAGTTTAAAAGTTTCTACTCTTTTACTTACTGGACTTTTAATTTATGATGTATTTTGGGTTAGTATTTTTTTATTATTTTAGATTAGCTCTTTTTTTTTCTTTCTTTGATATTTGAGATCTGTTTGGAAAGGAATATTTGCTACGATTTGTTGATGTTGTTTTCGGTGCACAAATATTATTATTTTTTAATAAATTCTAATATTTATCATTTGGATATTTAGGATAATTTTTATTTATTTGTTTTATCTTCTACTTTAAACTTTCTTACATTTATTTATTAAGTCTCAGTTGTTTTGTTTATTTAATATCAGATTATGTAATTGTATTTATTTATTTTTTGAATGCTTAGATATTTCTTTTTCAAATTAGCTTCATTGCATTGTTGTTGGCAGTTGATTTTTTACATAATAATCGGTTTTGTAATTATTTTATAGGTATTTTTTTCATCATACATATTCAATGCTAATGTGATGGTAAAAGTTGCTACAAGACCAGCAGAAAATCCTGTAAGTGCATTTATTATAAGATTATAATAAGTTATTTTTATTACTTTTTGTTATTAAATATTAGATGTTTGTTACATTTTAAATGTTTTTTCATGTTATTCATGTATTATACTTAGTAGATTAACTTTACTTAAACTATGCTTTCATGTGCACATTTGCATATATGCAATCTAAATATTTTCAAATTTTTTGACTTTTCCATAAAATTTATTTTATTAATGACATAATGTTATATCAAACTTAAACTTATTTTAGGTTGGAATTGTAGCAAAGAAACTGCATTTGGGTGGAGTTGTACGAGAAGCTCCAAAATTATCACTTCCAGGAAAATTAGTATTTCCCAGGTTATAATTATCTTTTTCTCCATATTTTGTATAATTATTCTTAGTTTTCTTCTTTTAATGTGTGTATTTGTTAATACATTTTTCAAAAAGTCTTTAATTGTATTAATATAACAATTGCTCTTGTTAAATTATTTAAATTGAAGTTAATAATGTACTACAGTGAAACTTCTAGGAAAGACCACCTCTATGTAGTAAGACCAAATAAATAAATATAAAAAAATATCAAAATAAAAAATTTAACAAAATAAATTAGTAGATTAAAATGTATTCAAAATATTTCTGTAGGGCTCTTATTTAGATTGCTCTTTTTGACGATACAACCTTATATTGCAGTCCGAGTGCACTAAAGATGATTCAGCAAGTTCTTACATTTTTGTAACTTTTTTAATTTTTGTGCAGTTGTCAAACCTTAAACTTTTCTTTTGCTATAGGCTGAAAACCCAGGTCTTCATTTAATATAACTTGCATAGTTTTTTTCTTCTGCAGCCATTTTATTAGCAATTTATTCAGTTTATAGCTCTCTATATAAATGTTCTATTAAACCCAAGCGATTTTAATTGCTTAAAGATTCTACCTTGCAGAAAATCCGTGATCAGAAAACTGTTTAAGTAACAACCTTTTCAGGGGTCTGTTTAGAAGAAATTTGGGCCCGTTAACGGACCCTTCACAAAAATGTATATGATGGTAAAGATTTTTTTTTGAGGGAAAAATGTATTATAATTTAAGTTAATATATTTTTTAATAGTCTTCTAATAAAATCTTTTCATTTTGAGAAAATCTTGAGCAGAGGGAAAAAATTGACTAATGTAAAATGCATTCAATAACATTAATATGAATTGAATAATTTCTCTAAATAAAGAAGTATTAGTTAAAAAAATGAAGAATAAAAATTTGTTGAGATGAATTGTTGCTATGAAAATTTGTTGAGAGGTCATGAATTTTTTTTTTTTTGAACCTAGTTGACACCCTGTTTTTTTAATTGCACAAACAGATTGTTAGAAAAATTATTTAATTTGATTTTCCTAGAATATATATTTTTTCAAGAAATGTAATCAATTACTAATAATGGTTGAATTTCAAAGTTAAGTTTTAACTTAGTTATCTTCATTTTAATGCAATTTTTTTCCCCCAAACAGCTAACTCGTTTTATGTTCTATAATTTTTTTATTCCATTTTAGTATGCACAATAATGGCCACTTTTCAATGTTGGGACTTGGTGATATTGTGAGTTATAATTTTCTTTTAATCTATGGTTATAGAATATTTTTAATGCTCTTTTAGTACTTGGTTTTTTAATTTTGTATTCATAATTTTGTTTTTATACACAACTATTAAAATCATTCTTTTATATATAATACTATAAAATGATAATTTTTAAGGTCATTTTTTCCATAACAGATAAATTTGATAGCCTTTAATTTTCTTGTAACAGAATTTTCAAGCATAATATTCAGGTGTCAATTTTTTCTGGAAATTTCACTTTAAAATAAATTTTTATGAAAAAGGGAAAAGTTTAATATGAGTAAAAATTAGTAATATATGTAAGTTAAACTTAGTGTTGCAAATTAAAAATATAAATAATTCCACAATTTCTTATGTATTTTTTAAAAAAAATCTCTGTTAAAATTTTTTTAAAATTTTTCTTTGCACATGTTCACATTTTATTTTTGGAATACTATCATGATCTAATAATATTTTTATTTTATCTTTCACCTGGACTCAAATATAAAAGGTGAACAAGGGAAGAATCCCTTCTATTTATTTGGATGAAAAAGATCTTAAATCTAGTTCAAAGCTACTAAAACTTCATAATAAAAAGCAAAAACTCATTTTCTTTACATAATTATAATTGATAAATTCTAAAAATTGCTAATTCTTGCTGCTCGGATTTTTTTTGAATACTGTAAAACTAACTTAGATTGTATTTAATGTTTTTAAATTTTTGAGTAAATTGCAAGAATCATCGAATTAAAATAAACATTGTTTGAAAACCAAGCACATTACAATTTAAATCTTTTAATTATATTAGTTAATTTTTTATTAGTCTTTTGACTCTATCCTTTTTGTGTATACTTTTTGGATAAAAATTATGTAATACTAATTCATAAATTTTAGGTAATGCCTGGTCTTTTGCTGTGTTTTGTGCTACGATATGATGCATATAAAAAAGCCCAAATTTGTTCAGCTGAAACAGGAGTTCCTCCACCAAATCAACTTAACAAAATATCATATTTTCATTGTTCCCTCATCGGATACTTTCTAGGTAAAAATATGAATTATTTTAAACTAAAATTAATGAACCTAACTACTACAAAATTTTTTTATTTTAAATATGTAGTTTTATTGTAAGACTTGATATTAAATTGTACAAAATTTTGTACATTTGGCAAAAAAAAAACTCAATAACGTTTGATCTAGTAATCAGATCTTTACATGCTAAGACTAATTCTTAATGGTTTAACGGGTTGATCTCAGATATGCCAATTAGTGCAGACAATATTTTAAGTTACCAAATGAAACACAAAAATGTTCAGTCTTTGAATGAACATGTCTTTTTTTATGGCTTTGGATTTCATACCCTCGAAATATGGTTTCAATAGTTTGGTCAGGAATGGTCCAAAACTTGGATCCGAAATGCTAATTTTAATTTTTGCGTATTTTGCTATATCTTGAGAAGTTTTTAAGCGAATTAATAATTTTTTGATGCAATTATAAAATTTGTTTATCCAAAGAATTCTATGCAAAATTTAATTTTTAATGATTTGTTAATTTTTATTAACTTATTTAATAATAGTAAAAAATGTTTTGGTAGTATTCAAACTTTTACATCATTTTAAAGAATGTAATTTTATATGTTAAAATATGAAATTTGAATGAAAACAGCCTAGTAGTTATATTAATTATAATTGAGTTACCTTTTTCTTTAAATGTATTGAGCCCAAGAATAATGAATGTTGGATTTGTAAACTTTCTTTTAGGTCTACTGACTGCCACAGTTTCATCTGAAGTATTCAAAGCAGCTCAACCAGCATTATTGTATCTTGTCCCTTTTACTTTGTTGCCCTTACTCACTATGGCATACCTCAAAGTAATTGTTTTTTTCTTTTCTTTTACGGGACTTTTAATGACTTTCATTTATCTCAAACATTAATCTTAGATTCAAGTTAAATTAACTTAATTCTTTAGTTTAAGTTAAACTTGAGAGTCAAATCAATTAAGAAGTATTCTACACCAACTATAATATTATTAAATTAAAAGAACAATTATAAATTTCTCGGAAGAATCAATAATTAAAAATAGTCTCAAGATTTTATATTTTTTGATATTATTCATTGCTGAATATATATAGCTTGTAATTAAAAAAAAACTTTATATTTTGTTTTGTGAAATTTCTCATTTTAACCTAGTATTAATAAGTAATTGTCAGAAACAGAAGTTCACAAAATAAGAGTATTAATACTTGCATTTTTTTTTTACTTGGCCATAAATTAGCGAAAATTGTTTTTAAAAAAATCACTAGCAGAAAAAGAATGATTTTTGTTTTGTTTTGTTTAAATTATGACTTGAATATAATTATTATAGATGAAAGTTTGTAGATTTCCAATCAAATATATAAAAATAAACTAAGTTTATTATTAAATTTAAAAAAAAAAGACAAAAAAAGGAAAATAATTTTAGTTAAAAGCTTTGTTTAATGGGGTAATTTGTGGTTTGTCTTTCTTAATATGTGATATATAAGTAAAAAGAAGTTTTTGGCTGAAGGATATGTACAACTAAGCAGTGCAAAAGGATAATTCAGTTTTATGATGCTCCTGACATACATCATCTTTGCCTAGATATACATTTAATATTAAGGGAGTACATACTTTTAAATTCTTTCTGTGAAACATGTAGATTATTGTAATTGTTTCGTATCAGTGAAATAATATTGTAGTTATTATTTGGAGAGAATACTTAAATATATTTTTAGTATGCCGACTAATAGTATGATTGAATATGGATTATTATGATGATAAATTTTAGAAATTAAGTTTCTAAATTTGGGAAGTAGGGAGCAATTATTAGGTAATTTGCTTTTAAATTTTAAATATAGGAGACTTATGTTCACTTTTAGTTTTAAAACTGAATTTATTTTAAAATTAATACGAAATTGTGTATAGTAGCAAATTTAAAAATTATTGCTTTTAATAAATATTTTTATTTTATTGAAAATAATTTTGAAAGTTAATCTTTATTAAATAAACAATAAAAGTTTGTATGTTTTGAGTGTTGAACCTATTAAAAGTAGTAATTGTATCCAGTATTAAGTAAAATGTATATCAAAATTTTTAATACGTTAAAAGACTTCCTATAAAAATTAAATTACTATCTACAAATGGATTGTATTTTTCATTATTCATCAATATTAACTTGAATAAATATTACATTTATAACATTCTCATAACTACATTAGCTCCTTGTTATTGTATATAAAAAAAAAAAAAAAAATGAGAGTAACTTGTAATAGCAAAAAAATATTGTTAAAATGTGCAATTATATAACAATTGTATTTATATAAACTAGCATATTAGTATTAATTATAACTTAGCAGTAATAAGAACAATAAATAATTTCCATTTGATGTTTTTTCTTTCCTGCCTCTGTATGACATTGATCATTATGATCAATGCATTAAAGGATGCATTGCTGAGCTTCTAAAAAATAGTAAAGTGTTCAATGCGCCTTGGTAGTTATGCATAAAATCTGAGTAATTGTTTTTCTTAAGGATATTTTTTCTACATTCATGAGAAGTAAAAGAATTGTTAGTGTATATATGAATATTAATTTATATTATTTGTCATGAATATAAAGCTGTGAAAAATAATATATATTCAAATTCATCTTATAATGAAGGACTAGTATATTTTCTTTATGTTATTAAAGTATGCATTATGTTAAATTATTGAAGAATGTTTGATTACTAACTGAAATGTTTCCATATTTAGGGTGATCTTCGACGTATGTGGAGTGAACCATTTATAGTAACAATACCATCTAAGCACCAAGAAGTTTGACAAAACTTTAGTGGCAGTTTCTTTTTTACATTTAAAGTTACTGCTGCTATCTTTTCTACCATGTACAGAATTCTTAATTTAATAATGAGTATGTTGGACTGTCATGAAAGAATATTTATACACTGACTTGTTGGGTTATAATCATTTACGACCGGTTTATTTACTTTATGATTAGATGAATTCTTATTATGTTTTTTTTAAAGTATTTTAATTTTTACTTTTAAGAGGCCTCTTCCCTCATGGCTGAATACTGAGGGATGTAAACTAAGTTGGAAATTTTTAACCCACTGGCGGTTTAGCAAATGGGCAAAATGTTTCGCCCCAATACACCACTTTTCTATCTAATAACATGGGAGAACCGATTTTGCTGTGCAGAGAAGACTGCAGCTTAAAATACGATTTTTTTCGTGCAGAACCGACAGTAAGTTAAATATGCTTTTACTGGTCTTTATTTATTTTCACAAACAAGGTGATTATTGTTATTTTCATCCCAATATGATTCCATGCATTTAAAATAAAAGATTAAAACTCTTATCGGAATAGGAGAGACACTAAGAGTGTTTTAGAAATAGCTTTTGATTCTTTTCTTCTCAAGAAATATAGCTTTGCAATTTTGCAAATGTAATTTAATATTGTAAGACTGTTTAGATTTTAGAAAAATATCTTTGTTTTTTATGTAAAGAAATTTAGCTTGTTTTTGTTGGTTTAAATAAAAATGATAAACTTCTATGCAGGTGTAGGATGTTGAATTACTTATCCAAAACTACTAACTGTATAGTTATGTTATTTATAATTTTTAAGAAAAATTGCAAGAATTTACACCCCATAATGAGTTATTTATCCCAACCATTTAAAGGAAGGCCTTTATTTTAATTTTATTTAATGGGCTTTATGTTGTAGAATTATACATTATCTAAAGTTTGTTTAGGGGAAAAAAATCCAACCCAAAATGGGTAATATTTCACCCTATAATGAGTTGTTTCTCCCAACAGTTAAAAGGAAGGCCTTTATTTTCATTCTATTTAAAGGGTTTAATGTTGTAGAATGATACTACATTAAAGATTGTTTAGAAGTAAAAAAAAAAAAACCCAACCTAAAATGAGTAATTTTTCTCCCGATAATGAGCTATTACTATCAACCGTTTAAAGGAAGGCCTTTATTTTCATTTTATTTTGAGAGTTTTATGTTGTACAATGATACTACATTATCTAAAGTTTGTTTAGGGGAAAAAACTCAACCCAAAATGAGGGAAGATGGCTTTTATTTGAATTTTATTTTAAATTTTTATTTATAAATAATTATAACATTAATTTAAACTAATAATTTCTAAATGTCTTAATCATATCTCTGATTTTGATATTTAATTAAGTAAATAATGCTTTACTTAACGTTAATACTTATGTTTTTTAATTAATTGGATTAGATTACTTATATAACTTGGCTTATTAATTTTTATGATGTCACAAGTATATATGCACGGTTATTCTGACACAAAACCTGCTAATTGCATTTAGAAAAACTTATATGTCCTATTTTATCATGCTTTACCTCTTTTAATTTCAATAGGAATGATTTTTCTTTTGTTTACTTTTTTTATCAGTTCTTAAACATTTTGATTTTTGGAAATAAAACTGTATTCTTTTATTTTTAAAAAGGTCTGCATTTAGTAGGTTTTGCATCTGGGCAATACATTTTGGAAAATAGAGTTTTTAAAATGTAAAATAAAAATTGGATCTCAATCAGTTAAAAATTTGTCAAAATCGTAAATGTTTTGTACATTTGTAAATAATGTGAGATTTATTTATTTACATATAAATATAGGATTTTTATTGGTGTATATAAATTTTTTATTAAGGAATACTAAAGATAACATTTAATGTAAACATTTATGTATGAGCTTAATATTGGCTTGTGTAGAATTTAATTTTTCAATTCCATTGGGTATTGCAGCTATAAAAATTTCAAATGAACTGTCTTTTCTAAGTTTTACTAACTGGTTAACAGTCATCTTGCTTTTTTACCGCTATTTTGTTTTAAAAATACTCATTTGTTAGAATAGTGTGAAGACTCGTATATGTATCTTGTAAATAGGAAAGTTATATATTTTTATTATGTGTAAATTAGATATGGAATAATTCTGTGTTTTAAGTTAAGATGAACACGAGTTACACAAATCATTGTTTTATCAAAGCATATAATTGATGTGACGAATCTCTTTAGAAATGTTTTGACTTTTCACCAATTTTTGCATTTATTACTCAATGTCTTTTTGATTTTCTGTGTCTGTAAAAAAATAGGATTCTTGATAAACTTTGAAAATGCTTTCTTTTGGATAAAAACCTGCATTATAATTATCTTAATACAATGAAATTGACCTTGAATATATGCTTTTTATATTAGTTAACACTTACACAATATGTAAATTGATTAAAAATTCGACTGTTAACACTTACATAGTGTGTATATTGATAAATTCGACTGTTAACACTTACATAGTGTGTGTGTTGATAACAAATATGACTGTTAACACTCATCCAGTGTGTATATTGATGACAAATTTGACTGTTAAACTTACATAGTATGTATATTGATAATGAATTCGACTGTTAATACTCACAATAATTGCATGATTCTGGAGGAAATATTCATTCCAAGTTACTGGGCCATGAGATAAATCTGTATGTTTGAAATACTTTTTGAAATCATAAAAATTTTAAAAATTGTAACAAAGATTAACTATATGAAATATTTTTTTTGCTATTTCTAAGTTGAAATAAATTAAATGAAACAATTTGAAAAAAATTAACGTAATAATTATGTACAAAAGAAAGCGATGTCTTTAAAGGAAATCTTTACTTTTTTCTTTTTCAATCTTATATTTTTTTTCTCCTTTAAGATAGGATTTTCCCTCTGACTTGTGATAAAATAATTACAATGCAAAAAGTGTTCAGTATTATATTGTTTCTTTTTATATTTTTAATTTCAGGATTCTACTCTTGCAATATTTACTTTAATGACTTTGAAGAAAACTATATATGTTATATTTGATTTTCAGTGAAAAAAAGAGTACATTAGTTTTCACCTTAAGATTATCACCATAAGTAGGCACAGGGCTTCCAAATAACATGGCTAAAATGAATAAAAAATATAGATTGGATGTTATAGGGTTGCAAATACTATCTGCGGCTGCTATAGGGTTTCAAAAATATTGATGCAAAATTAATAATAATATATCTAAGAACATGGTATCACAACCACTGTCCGTAGTTGCTAGAAAGGGTTGCAAAAAAATTACAAAATTAAAAAAATGCAAAATGAATAAATAAATATAAAGGAACAAAGGTTTGCAAAGGTTACTCACTTCTGCAAATTATACATAGTATACAAGGATTTTTCTATTTTTACTTATTTCCATACATGCTAAATATTTATAATCTATGCTACAGGAGATGCCTGGAGAATTGCATTTTTCAAAAACAGTGGTGGTTTGTGAGAAATTTAAGTAAAATTTTGCCCAGGGTCTCAATATTTGAAGGTTTTAAATCGAATAGAGTTTGTTAAAATATAGCATCAACCAATTTTAATGAAGCACTTTTTAAGAGGGTTTCCATGCAATTTCAGAAAAAAATTCTGACTTTTCCAGATATATCAGGAATATTTCAATTATAATCCAGACCATATTTTATCTATACCATGCTTTTTTTCATCAGACTTTGATATTACTTGCAATGTCACATATTAGATTTTGTGAGCAAAACAATATCATTGAATTAGGAGGGAAATCCAGAAGTTGCTAAACGAGAAATTTTACCAACAAATAATAAATATTAGAATTATTTAACTTGAATTTCAATACTGTTACTGACAATTCTTAGACTGGTTATTTTCCAGGTATGGTGTAGGAATTTTCCAGGTTTTTTGGGAAAAATTGCCACTCTCCTTGCTTTTAGAGTAAAAATATAATTCCCTGCTAATTCCAGGTTTTACCTGTTTTAACTTGATCTTACATGCAATACATATTTTTTCAAAACCCTAAAACTATCAACGTATTTTTATGGCATTAAACTATTACAATTTTAATATTTTAAAAAGAAACAGCAAGAATTTGAAGAGTTGGTTGCAAGTTCATAACTGCTATATTTTGGGTTGCTAGGTTACATTTTGTATAATCACTAGCCATCAACCTCTATGATTATAATAAAAATGACACATAATTGCCCTTTAAAGAATATTGAGAATTATTCTGATATAAAAAGTGTTAATTATATTTTGTAATTTTTTTTTCTTCATAGAGGCATCATAAAGCATTTAAATATTTAGAATTATTAAGTTTTTTTTTTTTACCATTTAGATGAAAAAATTACTTCAAATTGTCAATTTCTTAACAAATTATGATTTTTTCCACTATTTAAATTTTTTTTTCTATTACAAAGTTAATTATTTTTACTTATTTGAATACCCTCAAATTCAAATTATTGGCTTTTTAATTTCTGAGGAAAGAAAAAAACCCATCTAAATTTCAAATTACACAATACATTTTCTTTTAAAAAACAACTAAAAAAAATTTTGTGACCGCACCTTATATGCATATTGATTAATTTCATAGAAAGGTAAGAATCACTAAATGTTGCGTTTATATTTGACTAAGTTAATTCAAGTACACATAATCAAAATTTAATTTTTTATTGAGAATTGTTAAATTCTTCAAAATTTTAAATCATTAGTGTGGTTCAAATCACTATTTTATAGAAAAATAAATTGCAGCACATAAATATTGTCATTCCCTTTTTGAAATTGCAATGAATCTTTATATAGGTTTTTTAAGAAAGAGCAAATATCTACATTTTTCGATGTGAACATAGCATAGTTGTCTAGCTAAGTATATTATGTTCTTTTTGAAGAGTATTCTATGAACAAACTAAAAGATTCTTTACAATTTTGACAGTTAAGAGTTGTCAGACTTTTTGAATTTAATTAAACATCATATAAAATTAACAGGAACACTTCATATGCTAATGGATGTTTACCTCTTTAACAGTTAACTATGTTTAGCGCAGTTTTGTCACAATGAACATTATTTTTTCTTTGTTTCTTGGTGGTACAAGAATACTAACATGACAGGTTTTAGCACACTAAGCACCATATCCAAAAGATCACTTTGGTGTTGTACCATATCATATGTAAAAGCACATGAGAGTAGATACTTTTAAAACTGATAAGGATAATAAAGTGTGTAAACAATTATAGTTAATACAGCAATAGTATAAACAATTTTTTTTTAAATAATAAGATTCCATTCCTTAAAGGTTGTAATCAAAAATCCTATTTTTGAATTACTATAACACAAATTTTTTTCCAGTATGTAAATTTAATTAAATATTTCATAGAGTTAAGTATGTGGATTGATAAAATTAAGAGCATACTACTTAATATTTCTTGTGTAGCAATTTGCTTGGTGTCATTTGTGTGGTATTAATTATCTGATTTTAATACAAGTTTCTTACAAAGAATCATTTCTATATCATTCTAAACACCTAAGTAAGTGTTTTTGACTGATCTGTTTATACATTTTTGATATTCTGCACACTGTGTGTGTCCTCTCATCAGATTTACAAATCATTATCAATCTGTATATACTTCCAATTTTGATACTCTGTTTTTCTGAAATGTCATCATGTCAAATAAACTTTGCTTTTCAGTAATTTTGTTGAATTTTTTTTACGCTTGCTACCAATCTCTGTTTCCAAGTACAATAATTACTCATCTATTTATGTCACATATATTTTGATCATATAATTAATCTCCATAAATTCTAATAGTTACAATAATATACAGCACAAAGTAAAAAAAGTTTTTCATTAATTTTTTTTATTAATCTTTCGATGTTATGAATGTAATAACAAAGTTTCCAATAAAATCAAGTGTATGCATGTTATAAATCTACTGTAATATTTTAACTATGTATGTTATGGTTTTGTTTATAACCTAGTAAAATAACCTTACATTCAGTCAAATTCAATATTAATTGAAGTTTAATGGTCTATAAGTTTGGTGGTTGGAAGTAGTACTGGAATATCACATAAAAATACATAGTTATATAATATTTAAGGAAACACAATTAAATACTGTTAGAACTTTTGTGTGTCAACAAAGATAAACACTGAGTCAGAAATATTGAATTATAAAATACTAAAAATTTGTGGCATGCAGAGAGAACCAAATAAGGGTATGGCCACAGGCATCAAACTAAAGGGAGCATCCAATTAATGACAAATGACACTAGCAGGGTGCGTACAGACTCCTTAGAAATAAAAAGTCTCCAAGGAGTACTTGGAACTACTTAGATTTCCAAATTAGTCCTTAGAAACTCCTTAGATTGCTGCGTTGCATAGGTGAACTTACTAAGTCCACTGATGAATTTGTTGTACAAGCAGGGAAACTAAATAATATGACTTAGCTCTCAAAATGTAATATTTTAAGAAAAATTTTTAAAGAAGAAAAAATTTAAATTGCAAGAGTTAGAAGAAAAAAAATAACAGCAAATAATTTTAATTTTACATGTTACAAGTAAACTTAATTAATAATTTACTGTGATTTTTTTTTTGTGTGTGTATAAAATGCCTTAGATTTTCTTATGTATTCAAATTTAAAAATATAAGATTGGTAGGTTATTATGTTAATCTTTAACAAGATTTACTAAAATATTTGATACTGGAAAATGTAGTTATGTGTAAAAGTGATTACTTTACTTATTTTTCTTGATGAAGTTTGACAAAGTCAAAATTTATTTCAAAAGGGCTAGAAAAACTTATGCAAAATATACATTTTTGCAAGTTTCTTACAATAACTGCTTTTTAATTTAAAAAAGAAAAAAAAAACTGTCTAGTTATCTTTTACTCATAGTCCTTAAAATTTTGAACTCCTTGGATTACTTCTGATCTCTGTATGAACCCTGCACTAGTATTCTAAATTAATTACTAGTTTAATATGAAATGAATTTTAACTAATAAATATTTAGCAGAATATTTCATGAAGGATAACATGGTTTTCAAACATAGTTAATATTGAAGTAATACTTAATTAAATAATTAGTTGGCCTACTTTATATCACTACATTTTACAATCAGAGATTAATGTGATAATCGGGACTATTTTCATTATACATGTTAATCAATATCTATTGTAAGACAATGTTTCAGGCTCGATTCCAATTAAGCACTTCTAATTTGATTTCTCGCTTTTGATTTAATTAGTTTGAGAGCAGAAAAGGCACATAAGCGTTAGGACTTGAAAATTATATTGTCCGACAAGCCTTAGGCTTGTAAAAACTCCCATCGGTCATGCATTTTTTACCCTTACTTGCCCGGACAGGCAAATAATTTTTCAAACTGGAGGGTACTGGGAAATACCAATTGAATAGCCTTCAAATTCTGAAGAAAATGGAAAAAGTCGGGTTGAATAAATGACATTAAAAGGGATAAAGAAAAGGAATTCAATATAATTATCTAATAAGCATGATTATTATTGAATATAATTATATAAATAAAATTTTATTAATTTAAGTTACCTTGCTATTTTTTATTCCCCTAGTCCCTTCATTCCCCCCTACTTTTTTTATATAAAAGTGTATAATATTTTTTTAAATAACACATAGAAGGGCATATATGTATAATATTTAATAATTTTGATAAAATAACTTAGGTAATATTACTGTTTTACATTAACTCCGTCAATGCTTATTTATGGTTAATTAATACAACCTTGTAAATAATATGTAATACTAATTTCTTAATAAAGCTTCTTCTAATTCATACATTAAAATAAAAGTGAAGTAAATATGTTTTTTTTCAATAGATTGATAAAAATTACCCTTTTTTTTAAAACTGATTTATAAATTATTTGCAAAAAATCATTTTATAAATTTGTTTGAAATATCCAAATTCCTATTTATGAATGCTTAATTTATCGCTGAACAGAAAATTAGTTTAAAACATAAGTTATTATGATTTTAAGTTGACATACTAACCTTGTGCTGCTGATGTAAACTTTAAAAAAAAACCTAAAACTTAAAGCAGTAAAAAAGGTAAACTTGTTTTTCAGTTAGAAGGGTGGGTCCATTGGTTAGACCACACTGTTTCAGATCATTAAAATTTATATATTCATTGCATTCAAGAAAAATTTTAACCTATCTAATTTAAAACAATAAATTTATGTAAATAATTAAAAGGATAAATGAAGAATATTAAGTATTTACAATTGGGACTTTCCCCTATCAGCAATTACACATCTCTTTTTAGGAGTATCTAATGGAAAAGTTTACCCCATGCATCAACATACCCGGGGAAGATATAGCAAAAGATTTAAAATGCTAATTCTATGAAAATAATACCAAAATCAAAATCAAGTACTGTGTAAATAAATATGCATAAAAGCATCATTAATATAGTTTAATGGTATAAATATATAAGATTTATTGTAACAATGTAATGTACAGGTTAAAGATGAGAAGAAAAACCTTCTCATTTCACTCCTAAATGCAGAACTACATCTTTTCTAAAAGCTTCCCTCATGGCTTTTCTTGATTTATCTGCACATGCAGCTATGTGCTTCCCATTTGGTCCAATAATGAAACGCTATGAATATGGGGAAAAATAGATTATAAAATGTTATGTATATCAGAATTATTTTATTTTCAGTGAAAAAGTTAAAACTGAGTTAGTTAACACTTTACCTTGTGTCGAGGTGTTGTACAATGTATTTTAATATCAATTTTTGGGCAACCAGATGGTAGTAATTCCCACTTTGAAATAGTCTGGAAAAGAAAGAAATTTATTAGGTCATTCTTAAAATTAAATTAATTTTAAAATTAGACTATCATTTGCTCAAATTTTGTAAAGTTTAACTTTTCAGTTATAAACAAGAGTAAGATTTAGTTTAGTTTGTGCACTCAGTTCATTACACACAGTAGTTTGTGAGCATAAAAAGGGCAAACAACGTTCACTAAAAAAATATTTGGACCAAACTTAAGTATTTCGATTTTTAATCGTTTGCAGTTAATTGGCAGATTTCTGCCAATAATCTTTATTGAGCCATGATGGCTGAGGGGACAGAGCGTTGGCCTTCAAATGAGGTGAGTCCGGTTCGAACCCCAGCTATTGCTTGCACTGACCACAGTACTGACGTAAAATATCCTCACTGGTAGATTGGTCATGGGTTAAAGTCTTTTTGCCGCCAGGGTAACTGTGAGGTTTTTCTCTCTATGTAAAGCAAATGGGGGATAGTTTCATCAAAAAAGTCCTCCATAAAGGTAAATTTCTCCCAATGCTTGATCTACGAGTTCCCTTGTCTTTGGAATTTAGTTCAAAATTACGAGGTTACAGAGTTGAATATTAGAAGTCGTAAACCCAAAATTGGGTTGGCTGTTCAATGATGGTAATAAATTAAGGCAAAATAATCCTTATTGAGCGTTATCAAAATATGTCTGCAATGAAAAAAAAAGTATTTTCATGCAATTTGTAAACAAATTTTAGGATATGAAGTTTTCTCCCTTTGAAATTTTTTTCAAGATTGCCAAAACATAATAGAATAATATTCTCTAAAGTGCATTTTTTTTTAATGTACGAAAATAAGTTTAAAATCTATCTATATTGTCAGTTAAGATTTTTCGAAGTATTTGATGAACATTATCTAAAAGTTTTGTTAAGTTGCCAATTGGAATGATTATTGTACTGTCACTTTAATGATCAGTTATTAAAAATTAATAAAAGAAAAATTATTTTAATTGTTTATAATATTCAGTAGCTAATATGAATTTTAGACGACGAAGCAATAAAAAATGAACACTGAACCAGCAAAACAACTAAAAATTTTATATTCAGCATCTTTTAAAATGCATAAATATGCACATGCATAACTTAATGTGATTATAAATAGATTTAGAATTTTTAATAAGAAAAACATAACAAGATGTACAAATTAAATTATAAACTTCATTTATCCTCTTAAGCAGGAATCAGTATATGATTTCTTGTTCAGGTCCCATTTTAGGAATTTTGTGAAAATTAATTGACAAAAACTAAGGTTTTATTTCTGAAAAAATGCCTATATAATGAAACTATTACGATATTATTATTAGCCAAATTATTGAATTAAATCACCTTTCATAAGTTATATTGTGTGAAAAAAACAAAAAATTAAGGCTCTATTATTAATAACAATAATAAAAATTATAAATTTAAAAAAGGAAATACCCATGAAATTTTTACAGTTTTTAAGATATTATTATTAGCCATATTATTGAAATCTATTCACCCTTTGTAAATTCTATTAAATGCTTTAACTAATTTTTTCATTGATTTCTCATCTCCTTCAGTGTGTTTTTCTTGTCTTCAAGTGTGTTTTTGTCAACGATTCACACAAAAATGCACAATTTTTAGAGCATATATATATATTTTTTAGATGCAAATATAAATATACAAACATAAAGGAATAATGTTAATCAGTAATTTTCGAAGAAAAAAAAAGATTTTGGGCAAGGATAATTTTTCAAGTTTAAAACTTTGTTAAATCTATTTAATAGTTTAGATTTTTGTGAAGGTTCCTTTTTTGAGATTTTGTGTTTACTAAAGGGCATTTTTTTGAATTAGGCTTTTTCAAGTTTGGATTTTTTTTATTAAGATTCCCTTAAGAAACCTAATTTCTTTCTAGATTGGCGCATTCGTTTAGTTATAAAAATACGTAATTGCTTAATAATTTGTAAAAAGTAATTACAGGTGAATTTGCGATGATAGTGATTTCAGTAGGAATTGCTAAAAATGAATTATTTTGTATTTGGCCAATTCTTTTTAAAAAAATATTTACACTAATTTCTAATAAAGCATGGATAAATTTTAAAAAAATTGTGTAAATATCTACTAATTACCATTTGCACTTGATAAGGTATTTCTTGTGGCAAGTACTCTAATAATTTTTCTCTGACAATCATTAGAGCTATATCATGTGGATGTTGGTCTGTCACTAGGCTGTCAGGATACATCCAGTCATGGGGTATTGCTTGACTGAACAAATAGTTCTAAAAATATAGAGATATACAAGAATATTTAAATATTATTTAAACATACAAAATACAAGATACAAATTAAAATGTTAATGTTTTTAAAAGTTTCATATTTAATTATTTTATCTTTAAAAGTTTATTTTTATCCTTAAACGTTTTTATTTTTTATCATTAAATGTTTTATTTTTAATTAAATAAGGAACCTTTATTTATTTAAAAGAAATATTAAGAAGGAGAAACCTAAACATTAAGAAATATACCCTATTAAACTGAAACCTGATTTTAATTTATAAGTAAAACGTTTAAGTGTTTATCTGATGTGATTTTGAGATCACACAGCACAACTAAATTATTTCTAATTTAATGAGAACACAACTAATCAAATATATAACTTAAATGAAGAATTCCAGAAAAAAATTGCTGGTACATTTTTAAAGTAACTAAAACCTCGTCTTTCAGGTCAGTAGTATTAAATCTGTGTTTACATTGTGCTACAGCTGCACAATAGGCTATTGCTGATGGCGAGGGAAACAACTCTCAGGCTGATCCTAAGACATTCCATCACAACTTAGGGAGCCCAACAACCTATCAGCGAAGTCGAGTACTTTTCCGTGGGACAGTTTAACAAGGACCAATAAAGCCCACCCTCGGTCTCTTTGCTAGCTGATGAAAGTGATCACACACATGCTCACTGATATGCGTCTGATATAGATAAATTAAATACAGAGAAAATGAGCTAATTTTTGTATGAAAGATGTGAAGAAGGAAATTGCAAAATCAGATAGAATAGCAATAGTCACAAGACAAACTAATTATTGCTTAAGGTTTTTGGCAAATGATTGATTGCTTTATTATATGGTTGGATTGTGCATAGCAATAACGGCCTTCTTTCAAGACCTCAGTGGAAATAGATGCCTTAGAGTAGGGGACATGTATGTTTAAATAAATAAGTGTTGCATATAAACTTGTGCAAAACATGTAATTATAAAAACCTTACAGTGCATCTAATAATTTGATCTAATTATTATAATAAACTAATATAATGTCTGATATAATAGTTATTCTATATTTATATTATATATTGTATAATTTATCCAATCGTCGAATTTATATTATACGTCGTCTAATTTAACCAATTGATACACAAACGTAAACAAGTGCAAACCGGTTCCAGTCACATAAAAATCAATAAAGCTATATAGTATCACCTGATAATTAAGATTTTACATAGAATATTATAGTGCATCTAATAAATTTGGCTAGGGAAAGTAATTTGTTAACAGAGGATTGCAGTATTTCAAACATTTAATCCAACCTACCCTCAAGTCCTCAATTCCATCATTCTTCAAGGAAGAAACCATGAATACTCTAGAAAAATGTGGCCAGCCATCTTTCTGTCTTTTTTGAGAAATGAAACTATTTTGATTGTTGTTGAAATCAGTTTCTACAGATTTTTTACCAACATCTGATGGCACATCATCAATTGCAGTTCCTTTTTCCTCAGACGTTTTTTCAAACTCAGAAGTAGGTACTCCTCCAATACACCCACAAGTCAAAGTTTTAGTGAAACTCAGCAGTCTAGTTTTTGATTTCATAGCATCAATCTGAAAAGTTAAAATCGCATAATTAACCACTGCACGAATTTATATTTTTTGACATTGACTTAGGGCCTACCTGTACTGAATTTTGAGGCCGGGGTCTTGGAGCTTTGTCACTCATTTTGGTTATTTGTGCTTTAAAATACTTACTTTTATTCAAAATTAGCATATTCTGTCAGTTTAGTTGATTATGTTTCATATTTATTTTTATAATTTGTCCAAAAAGTACCATTTAAAATTAAATTGATAGACTAAGCATTTTTTTTAAATAAGTGCTTAAATTAAAATGAAGTTCATGAACATGGAATTATAATGGTGTACATAGTTTATTATTCTTTTCAAATTCTGCTTTTCTTTTCAAAAAAGAAAAAGTATAAAAAAACACACTTTACATTTCAATATAACATAAAGCAATGCATGCTGCTGGAAAAGAGTTTTAAAGTTAAGGAAAAAAATATTAAAAGCTTATTTTGTTTCAATCTGTGGCCACAAAAACAGATTGCCAATCTTTTAAAAACCATTTGTTTGAAAAGCAAGGTTCTCAAACTTTCCATTGGTGGAATATTTTTCAATTTTTTTCTTTAATTTTTAGTGTTACAGAATTTTTTTTCTCCAAATGATAAATTTTAACCTATTTCCTATACATTCATTTTGAGTAATGAAAGTTTCTTTTTATTTTATTTTTATTTCGTCATTGGAACTGTCCTTTGTTAGTTAAATATTAAGTAGTTTTAAAATTGTTTAAAATTCTATTTTTTTTATAAATACTTTTATACACTTTTGTTTCTTTTTTTTCAAGTATTTAAATTAGTAATGCCAATACATACTGTTCAGATTTCAGTGAAATTTCTTTTTTTCTTACTTTACAAAAGTCCTTTTAAATGTTCTCATCAGCATTATGAATGCGCACACATGAAATATAAGTCCATCAAAAATCTTTGGAAAGGATCCGCTGATTTTGAGCGAAATTCCAAATCGGATCTCGTCAAGACAACTGATTTGGAATTTCGGTTTTAATTCTTTGTTGAATAATTTTTCTAAATCCTAAATATTTACTTTTTATGTGTATCTCCTAAATAGGAGTTCATACTATTTTTTAATTGTGACCTGTTTTTTTATTTTTAAAAACACTATTTTGAATTTCTTTCACCATTAATATGTAAATGCTATGTTTGAATTTGTAAACATCATTTTTACTGTCCTATCTGTATTAAATCTTTGTTCTGAAATTTTAACGTTAGAAACATAACATACAAGTAGCATACTAAACACTAGAAATAAAAATAATACATAACAATACAAATTCTCAGCTAGGCTAATAAAAATTTTTTGGATACTTTTTTTCCTTTCTAAAAAGAAAATAACCATGTAGTTGCAGTGGAGTCATAAGCGACCAATATTTCTAAACTTAGTTCATAATCACAATCTTTATTTCTTGTAGAAAAGAAAAATTTAATCTTTTTTTTTCATTAGTAGAAAAAGGATTTTACTTCATGGTAATTTAATTACCTTCTAAGATTTCACGAGCCTTAGTTAGAAATGGAGAAACCTTTTTGGATTGGAGTATTTGGTTAAAAAAACTTAAATACATTTTATGCTTTGGAAAAGAGTAAAATCATAGCCAAATTGAAAGGAAAAAAGATAATTCAATCAATTAGTAATAGTCAACAAATAAACACTAATTCAAAGAAGACAGCTGATTTTGCAAAACTTTAGACATTATAAATCTAAATTGATAAAATTTTTGTTGTTTTTTTGAGAAAATCTATCATCAGATTTTAATTTACCCAGGTTATAAAAACCTCATATAAATTTAAACATTTAGAGATTCTTAGAAACATGCCATGTCTAGACATTAGTAAAAAAATAAATGAAAAATAATTTTTTAATTCAAAACTTAATTTTATTGGAAGTGCAAAAGTTAACATTAATAAGGAATGGTTTAATTTTTTTTTGTACATAAAATATTATTTATTGGAAATATATCTTTGAAAATAAAGGGAAATTTTTTTTGCAAGCTATGATTAATAAGAAAATAAAACTTCAACTTCCTTAATGACTAAAACATGAAACACTATTCAAAAAATATAGAAAGCACATAACAAACAAGGAAAAAAAAACAACACAGAAATAACATACACCTTTGCCAGGCTGTTAAGATATAGATGGTTTACACAAAAGTTTTCTAAAATGAAAAACAATTTCCATCCTTCTTTAAAAATTATTGTGTGTGTGTGTAAATACACTAAATATATTGAAAATTCAAATGTTTCATTTAGGAATATCAAATAGCATAAATGATTAAGATATAAAATAATTTTACTTTGCATAGTTAGAAATTGATGCATTAAAATTACATTAATAAAACATATAAAAAATTTATATCTTACCTTATTTAAAATTAAAATAGTTTGCTTCTCTTTAAAATCTTGCAATAATTCTAATATATTCTCATTAATTCTATTGTTGGTGTATTTATTTGCAATATCAACAACTACTGCAACTAAAAGTAAATGAATTTAAAAAAGATTAATAAGGATATGTTTAAAAATATTTGTACATTTTTATAAAATAATGAAGTCAATTTTATAAAACATACTTATATTAGCATCTCTAACAGACAGCCTTGGATCCATAACAAATGAAGATTCCAAAGAATGCCTAATAAAATGGTAAAATTTTTGTTTAATTTTACTATTTTTTATTATTCCATTTACATTATATAGTGGAACTAAATTCAAAGTTTTTTAGAATATACGAAAAATTAAAAACCAGTAAAGGAACTTACTTTTTAATCTGTTCAGGAGTAACAAAACCAGGTGTGTCTAAGAAAACCTTAAATATAAATCTAAATTTTAAAAATTTGAATTTAGAAGAAACTACAATCAAATCACAACAACTAAGTATGTCTTTGAGTTTCAGAATTGGCCATAATTTTAATTCTTGTACAATAATAGATACATCACATTTGCATTTCAAGAGAAACAGATTTGCAGAACTATTTATATTTAAAAACATATATATTATGAAGAATACAAAAAAAAAAGATTTAAACTAAGTCAGCTTATAAGTCAATTTCTCTTCAATGCGTATATTAAAAAATGCAATAAAGATCAAGGCATACAAACAACCTTTGTCCTTGAAAGCTGATTCTAAGGAAAAAAAGTTTAAAGACTGACAGGAATTATTTTTCTCCAGTACAGTTTATCTTCACTGTGTAATAACTATCAGAGAGAACTAATTTTCCAAGTTATTGATTTGTCAAAAATTTAGCAATCTTCAAGCTGAAACTGATGTTTATATAATCATCTTTTTTGTGAAAATTGGATACTAACTGTTCTTTGCCCTTGACATTCAAGTTTTCGTAAATAGTTTTTTGGTATGAAATTATACATACACACACATTTGTAATCAGTGATTTGCAAGTAATTCAATACTATGAACACGATGAATAACATTTTCTCATGATAAACAGTACATAAAGTACACCTCAGATGAAGGAAAAAAAAATAATTAAAAACACTGATTTAGGTTATTTTTAATGTATTTTTTTCTCCATTTTGTTGCTTCATTTATTCAAAGTTTTCTCCATCACTATATTGTTTGAGCTTTTAAAGATATGCATTAATTAAGAATTATCCATTGATTTTAATATTATTCCTCTAGGTTTAAAAAAAATCAGATTGACAATTTTAAAAAAAATTTTAACAATTATTTAAAAGTTTAAAATGTTTGTCAATTTTTATATTATACAGTACATTTTCTTAAGCAAGGTAGCATACACATAGCATAAAATTAATGTTCTACTTCAGGTTCAGGTGCATAAATTGTGGTAGATCCAAAATATGAAAAAAACTAAACTTCTTATCATCATTAATCACTTATCATCATTAAGTACTCTTTAATCACTAATGAATTAAACTTGAAACTTTAACAAAAACAAAATGAAAACTAAACCTTACAGGATAAATTACAGACAAGAAAGGTAAATATTATTTGATGGCTACTTGACATCAAATTATATATGCCTGTGATTTTTGTATCTATCCAATGTGATTTAGTTTCATTCATCATTGACTTTAAGCTGGGGCAGACAAAGATCAGATAACGTCTAAAAAATTTGCAATTGCCATATAATGTTTCAGAATTTGTATGTCACTTTTTAACTATTCCAAAATGGATTGCTCCCTCCTTACACAGTTTATGGAGCTTTGCATTGAACGGTTTGCCCAACTCAAGATCATTTTACAATAAATTTGATTAAATGTAAGTATTCATGGTAGTGGAGAAAGTTAGACTGTACCAAGCTTAAATGATACCCAGAAATGAAATCAGGCAATGATATTAATTTGGGTTAAATAAAAATAAAATAAAGGTAGGGAAGATGGCTTGGGCTTGGATAATTTTAGAATGTATACTTACAAAAGTCAGATCATATTTATCACTTTTAAGGGGTTAATGTATTTGAAGAAACAATAAAATCTAAAAGATTTTGAAAAACATACAAATGAATACTCTTACTCTGGAGTGCAATAAAAAAAAAATCAAGGCAAATGAAAAAAAAAAAAAAAAATCAAAATTTAGATTTCCATGTATTTGGTATTTTTGTATCATAAACTATCTTATGCAATTATTTTTTTCTAAATCAAATTTCATTTTTATCAGTTTTTTGAAATTTTATTTCAGAGTTTATAGCATTAGCAATAGAAAGAATACAGTTGTCAAGCCATTTTTCTCAAAATCTATAGTGAAGCACTTACATTGTTTTTTCAATTGCATGGTGGAATTGTAGTTATATATAAACATCCTGCTTTGTTAATTTTTTAAATTATTATTGATTGCCAATTATAAAAATAGTTTGTTATAAAAGATAAAAAGGGCAAGAGTAATAATGGAATTTTGGAGAATCAATTCAATAAAATAGAATTTCCAAGCTCAATAATAAAAAAACCCCTCTGGATAAGCAGCACAATTAGATATGCTGCACACACTATAATTTAATATTATAAATCATAAAGCTCATAGCGTATTTCCTCAAAATTACAATACTTTGAAGTTAAGTCATAAAATATGTCAGTTACAAATATTTTTTTTTAAAAAGAAATTTTTACTTAACATACTATTTGTTTATTTTCTTCCACTAAAACAGCTGCTGCTTTTTTCCTAGTTGTATGAACTTTGCTAGAAACTGCACAAACCTTCAAAAGATAATAATAAAAAACAGATATAAATTGAGGATTAGAGAATAAATACTAAAATGATAGATAAATAATAAAATCTAAAAATTTTTTTTCAAAAATGAGAAAAATAATATATAAAATGTATTATCAAAAATATTAACAGTATTTAAAAGAAAGTAAATTAACAAGAAATGAAAATTATTAGCAATATTTTTTTCTAATCTCCACATTCATAATTTTAATACCAAAACAGACACAATACAACAGGTTTTAAAATTTTTATATAAATAACATTATTACAATTAGCATTTTTTAAAAAAATATTACAATATAATTATTATAATATACATTACATAATTATTATAAAACACAGCAATTAAAATATACAATTTAAAATTCCGTAATTACTAGAGTATTTTACTTTGAAAATTGTATAAACATTGTACTAAATATTGTCTAATTTCTTTTCAAGCTTAACCAACTCAAAAAGTAAATGATTTAAACAACACTGAATTAAATTATAAATACCTTCCATTTAACAAGACTATTCGTTAATGTTGATTTTCCAGCATTAGGTTCACCTAAAATTGATACTTTCAAAAGATGAGGATTTTGAGGCTGAAAAGGCTTCAATTTCTTCAGTGCTTTATAATCATCTATAAATCAAAACTTTCAAGTTAAGGATTAAGTTCTTATATGCTACATAAAATTATTTTTATTACATAAAATTAAATTAAATCATGCGGATACTAAGATTAAGATAGTGATATGGATAGACTAGAATCCGATGTGATGCCTGCACTGAGTAGTTTGCTCAGTCAATGGTATTTTACGGCTCTCTGACAGTTAACGTTTGTTAACTGTCACAGCACTTTTTTTTTTTTTTTTTTTTAAATAGGAGGAACTTAATGTAGCTTATAATTGTTAAAACCACAAATATTAAATTTTGCTAAACAATTTTAGAATTTACAACAGAGATGCTTAAGTTGCTGTTAATTAGAGGGACTTTTACTTTCCATGATTTATTTATCAACGGCAATAAGATTAAAAAGGAAAATGCATTGTTGAGTGGGTTAGAAACTGACGTCTGAGTAAGCCAAATCGCTGCATCCGTCCTTTCAGTATCAGAAACATACACATTTTTTTTTAAAAACAGAAACTTGAAATTGTTGATTGTCGATTTTTATTTCCATTGTTTTTCTTTTTTCTTTATTGCTTAAATTATTCTTTCTTTTAAAAATTTCTGCTGCTTTGCATATTTCTTTCAAAGAAAGTTCTGTTATTACAAAATTAATTATTTTGTTTTCTTTTACTTATTGATATTTTCTAATAAATATTAGTACAAATATTTAAAGTATTTTTTTGAAATTAAGTAAGTAATAATTATAATTAAATTTGTTCAAGAGTAGAGAATACAAAACTCATTTCAGAAGAAAAGTAGGATATAATAGAGATGCAGAGTTCTCTTTAGGAATAAAAAAGGGCAGGGTGCTTCCTCACAGAAAAGGGAACTTTGGGTTTTGAAAAGGCACTCACTGAACACTGTAGAAATTTATCAAAATGTGTAATATCATGTAATAACTGAATTTGTTATTCAAAAATTTTAAATTACCCTGTTATACTATTTTATGAGTATATTTTGAAAATAATTTTCACTCATTATCTAAATAAAAGAAAAATTTGTGATTAATAAATAATAATTAAAGGCATGCTAAAAGACAGTCTCTGTGCATAAATTTTTTTTTAAAAAAAAAGTAAACTGTAAACATAATTATTTGATAAACAGCTTAAAATATTTTTTTCCATAATTTATACTGATAATTATTAGAAAATAGACAGATAAAAATGCATTTTTTAAAAGAAAAGTCATTTAAAAAAATTTGAAGTCACTTAAAAAATTTATTATTATACACGGTTGAAAAAAGAGAAACTTATAAAAATTTAACCAGTTGAGAATAATCCTAACAAAGTAAATATTTGTAATAGTAATCAGAATTAAACCTATAAACACATATAATTTTTGGGTAATTTTCATAAAAATGGAATATGAATAAAAAGGGCAAAGAGGGTGTATTTATAGCAATCAGAGGACAGGCCACCCTTCTAAAAATGCTTAGGGAGAACAGAGGAGATGAGTTTGGGCTTGTTTTTGGAGGTTTGAGTTCAATGAATTTTAATATGAGCCCGGTCGAGATTCATAGGAGTACATAGAGCTCAATATATACGCTAGATTAATACCAAATTTTGCCGTCTGACTAATAGACCTTTGCTGTTTAAGCAAGGAAATCAGAGGGGATATTTCCGTATCATGATCTGTTGCGTCAACTACACGGCCGGATTATCCTATAGGCACACTAGGCACGTGCCTAGGGCCTACGAAATTCAGGGGCCTACGAAAAACTTGGGAGAAAAAAATTTATTGACCAAAATAATTTAGCTTTAAAAACAACAAGTGTATTTTGCACAAAATTATGAAGATACAAATAAAAATATAATATTTTTCGGTAATAAATTATTTTGCAGAATCTTATGATCTAATATATTACTTTTTTGCGATTTTTGGATTCAACGAAATCTTGTATTATGCTGTCGAATTCCAAACTACGCAAAATGTCGTATTCAATAGACATAAGTGCGAG